TTGATTTGGTGACATAAGTAGGAAGGCCATTTTTGGAACCTTTAATATACATTTTCAATCAAATTTTTATTTAAAGTTTAAATTGAGCTGTACTGCAGTGAATGTGTTCCAGGCAGTATGAATATCGCGGTTACTAAATTTTGACCATCATTTTCCATTGCGATTTGCTTGAAGGTGTTTATAACATGCCACTTAAGGGTGACTCACACACACTTGCGCACACTCTCAATTTCATGTTTAAACAAATGACAACTTCAAAATTTAGAACTTTGGTACATCAAACAATAAACGTAGCCTCATTTAGACAAAATGGAGTAGTCGAAAATTTCTCATGGGATGTTAAATAACAATGAGATCGGCTTCAGATGGGTTCATTCATCTTCGTTTATGAACACAATAAAATTGTCCGTATGCGCATCTGGCTTACCTTTACCTATTTATAATGTGGTTTTTCATGATAGTGATGCTGTTAGTCAAAAGACCATTAATGCTACGCTGCGTGAGTATTTCTTACACGTTAGTAAGGGAGGTATTGCATTGAGGTAAATATCACCCTCCACTTTTTGAAGGAAGTACACGTTTTAGAGCACCAAGAATCCCAATCAAACAAAATATCGGTCGGTTTGTCGATCTGTTTGTACTCTCATTTCCGGCTAAACGACTGAACCGATTGGAACCAAATTTAGCACACAATATTGTTAGACATAAAATGAAGAGCTAAAAAGATTTTGGGCAGAATCGCACATGCACAGGTGTGCGGGTGGTGCTAGACGCGGGGTGGCCACCGCCCAAAATGTAAATGGCACGATTAACCGAGCGATATATCATTTGAAAGCTCCGTTATCCCAATTAAATGCAAATATTTCTGATTCTACAAAGAGACTAAGCCTTATTGAACAAAGGCGATGGAAACCAAAACTAAAGTTAGTCTGGTTTAGGCATTGATTTAGCCTTCAAACGGTGTATCACACGACCAATATACCGCTAAAATTTGACATTCTCATCCAAGGGGATCAAATATAAGTTTTTGAAAATAAGATTAAATTTCACATCCCCCGATTCAAAATCATTTTCGTTAATTTTCTGGAAACTGATGTATTAGGGATATCGCAAAAAATTTAAATTGCTAGATCCTCATCTTCAAATTCAGCGCCCCCGTATATTAAGGGATGAAAAAGTGTTTACTTTATTGAAAATTCTGTAATAACTGAATCCTCTCCCTATTACCATACACGCATTCTCCAAATAAAACCCTCTCCAATCAATGATTATAAGCCTAAAAATCATTTCACATTCGCTCTTTTCGCTCTTGTATCGCATACAGGGTACAACAAATAAGTATCTCAAACATATATTAAACAAAGGTCCAAAAAGAACCCAATCTCCACGAAATTGGGTATCTGTGTATATTTGAACGTGACACTAACAAATCCAAACTTAGCCCATACTTAATTCTCTCCTGTAAACACGTTTGCCACATTTCATATTTAAACAAATGAACAAAAAAATGATGTTTCTACTTGTTCTTGTACTGAGTTATAGCAATAATTCACTACAGATTTTCATTAAGGGGTACTTCCTGAAAGGTAATTTAATGTTCTAGTTAAGTGTATAAAGGAAAATAAGTTATGGAATAAATATTCTTATAAATAAGAAACTTGCATTCTACGCATGTGCACACCTGATGTTTAAAATATGCAATATATTTGCCTTTACTAAAAGATTTTTTGGTTAAAATTTCAAAAAAAATATCTCTGCAAATAATAAGATTGACGGTGCGTAGATTGCGCATGCACACATCTGATTTTTACAAAATGCGATACGCTTGTTTTTTTACAATTTTTTCCATTTAATGTTTCATAATTTTCCACTTTTTTCGTTTATTGTTCTGGGAATGAGATAGAGGACAAAAAAGAACAATAATGACACTATACTTTTACCAAATTTTGAAAAAAATTTCGAAATCAAATGTCCACGGGCAGCTACATCTTGCTGAATCAATATGGCTATGAAGGCGATATATGCATTCAAATTAATTAATGTTTTTGTCCTCTATCTCATTCCCTAAAAATCCAATATGATGCCCGTCAGAAAAAGAAAGTACCTATTACCCTGTAGCTTCTACATCTAGCGTGTTATGGAAATACTGATAACATATTCTGGTTATCCGAAAAAAACCGCCCATAGAAGGTGCTAACGAGATCCATCTGACCGTATTTAAGCTAGGAAAAATGAGAACGAAATTTGACAGTATCAGTTTTTCGGTGACATTTCAGTTCTTATTAAAGATTTTTCAAAAATTTCAAATACGTTTTTTTATTCACAAAAAGCGGCAACTACACTGTAGAGTGTAGATATCTCTCACCGTTACGGAGAAACCAATGGTGAGCCACGAATTTGAACCACCCTGTACAATCCCACCATCAATAAAAATTTTACGTGTTCCAGTATGTTAATACATACTAAATAAAGTAGGGGTGCAAGTTTAAGTTTGGTAACCTTCTGTTATATATCACCCCTTTTTTTTTAATTTGTATGAAGAAACGGGAAAAGGAAAGTGTCTATCGTGCAGTATCCACTTTCATTTATTCTCATCTATTTTACAAATGCTAATATTGCGAAAACAACATTCAAACTAATTTCAGATTCGTGATATTCATGTTTAAAAACCCCCAGATACCAAATTTCGTCGAAATCAGAATTTTTTTCTCACCCCTATTTACGAGTGCGCCCTTGCGGGGTAAGAATTTTCAAAATTTCTTTGCAAAATTGGAAAGGGCGTACACGAGGCTTATTCAAACGCGTGCCACCAGTCTTTCTAACTCTTATGGTTGCTTGAATGAAAAAATTAAAGAAGAACTGCAAATGCTTGTTTTGATCCCATCTACCATCCAAATTTTTTTTTACATACATACATGTAACACCCTGTATAGAAACTTGTTAACTAGTGACCTCACATACGATTTAGGGGTTTCCCATTTTGTCAAACATTTTGAAAAATTTCTTATTGAGATGGTTCAATATACAAGGTCCGTTTTCTAAGAAAATTAAAAAAAACCTTTTCAACTGCAATTTTATGGTAACCGAGGAACAAACAATCATCAGATTGCAATATTTAATGAACTACAGACGCGTTATACTAAAATGGATTCATACATTTTCAGGCGAGACGAGGCGCATGTTCAAATATAACGAGCGATTCATAAAATTCTGCGTCATAGTTGGCAATTGCGATTTAATTGTGAACATGCCATGTAACTGAAGAGGCATATCCAAGAACCCATGTAAAATCTCCAGTTCTATCCATCTATCTGTTATGATTGCTGAGAAAATAATTAATGAACAATCGGTTTTTGGAAGTAACACTGAAACATCTTGGAATCTTTTGTTTATTTCAAAAAATGTCACTTTTGGCACTCAATTTTTTGACATACTGGAATCACAGACATAATGATAACATGTAGGTTGAACGATGAACTATCTCGACCCTTTGAGCCTATACATATATACAAGTACATCCATGTACATGTAAAAATTTAAACAAAATGGTGTCTTACGCATCAAACACGTGCCTCTTATGCGAGACCATTTTGTTTAAATTTATATTTACAATTGGGAAACTTGGTTTTACCTGAACTTAAAAAAGCTATAAATATTAAACTGAATCGTAAAACAAATTTTCTGTGTTTATGCAATCATTTAATACAAATTGTACGGTAAACCATTTGGGTACATGTTGTCATTGTATCGCAGTTAATTAAAAAACTGGTCGATATCTATTGAAGCTTAATTGAGATTAGTCATGCTAAAGAATTTAAAAGTGATATAGGTATTAAGGGTGTAGAATTGATACACGCAACATAAGGAAAATCAATGGTAACTTTGAAACATGTCGATATTACAATGCAATTTCAAATACAATTTTCCGGAAATGTACAGGTTCAGGAATTTTTAATTTACAATGGAACAGCAGTGCGTACATCTGTGCATCCTCGAAAATCTTCAAACATCCGGTCAGACTTTTTAGATGATTTGTTGTAATTGGTTTATGACCATCTTCGGTTCTTCCAGTATTACCATTGATTATATACATATAATCAATTACTAAAAAAATTTACCAAAATTTATTAAGACAAATGTTGGTGTAAATTTTACCATTTCCGCACATAAACAACAGATATTTCGTGATTTGCACCAATCAAAGATCCTATGGATTTCAGTATAATTTTAAAGGTTTTGAATTTCTTCATATAACTTTGATACATAGCCAAACTGCATCAGTGTATATGATTGTTCATAAACCCATTGAGCTGTGGGATACCACAAAATTGTAATTCGGCTTAGTTCACACAGGTTTATATTTAAAGTCATTGACACTACTAACGCTTACATTAATAAAACCTGGCAGGAATTATTAGATAAGCCATTAATAATCAACGACAGCGGTGTATGAAAATAATTAAACACCATGAATTTTTATAGTTTTATTATGCAAAATGTATTTAAAAGATTTCCTTATATTTCAGCGTTAATAAGCTCCAGAAATGTTCCCCATTGCTCCAAAATTAAACGCCAAGACCACACAGGACACACCACTCCTTTGAAACATACTTTAATTACGTTGTAAATTGATCTACGATATGATTTATACGTAAATTCCGAAATTTATTTTTGTCATTTTGATTTATGCGCGACAGGGAGTTGTAAATTATTAAAAGGTATACATTTTCACACACGGATTCTCTTTGCAGCTATCAATATATACAACGCCTCTTTCTCTGGTTGATAAAAAACTGGAAAAAGGTTGAGCTACTTCAATATTAAAAGAAAACTTTTAAGCTAAAGAGCGCGCATCTGGATTTTTTCACAATTGTCTGTTCTTATCCTTCTCCGAGGGAAATTAGCGAACTCGCAAAGCTCTCCGAAAATGTCGAACTTTCGGGAAACAGACGCATATACCTACTCATAAAAAATTCATCTCCAAAAGTGGCAGTACTTACCGTAAACCGTAATTTGGGCCGGGGAGGCGGTTCGTTTCGCGGCGATATTTTCGGCTACGCATGTATAATTTCCCGTATCCTGAGCCCTGGCTTGTCCGATTAATAAATGCCCTTCGGTCGAGACAAGTACATCGGTATCGGGTAGCAGCAGTTGTCCACCACGTTGCCAATAAACATGAGGGGGTGGTAATCCAGTTGGCGGAACACAACGCAGTTCCATTTGGTGACCTATTTCGACCCTTGTCGATACCGGATTTACTTCGAATTGTTTTTTCAAATCTGTAAAAGACAAAAATGATCGCTTTAGGTAAATCTGGGTCGGCAAGTTTCAAATATTCTACAATATACATTAGAGTTTCGAAGTTTGTAAAGTGAATTTTGCGCCCCCCACCGTTGTGGGAACGCTTAATAAATCGGTATAAAGTGCATTCTTATGTTCAAACCGTCGATACATTCAATTGGTCCAGTGAGGGAGTAAAAATCAAGGAAGCTTGAATTGAATCTTATCTCTTGGGATCTTAAGAGATTAACTTTAATGTCTAAGTCGCATATATTTTTCACTTGAAGAAGCATGCATATAACAGAACTGTCAGCATGATGAATAAAATAAAGTTACTTTCAACATACGGGCAATGTTTGTTTTTATTTTCAAATTTTTATATCCGTTCGCCATCGCATCATAAAGTGTAACATTGTTGTTTCACTGTTGTAATCAATATGCTACATAAAGTAGGGGTGGTTATAATATAAGAGTGTTAAGTTGTTAAGTATTTTCAATAAATAACAATATAACATGAAAGAAATTCTATAATAAGCTTTATATTGTGCATAGCCATAATTTAGAATTATTGGTTGAATTGTGACAATTTCGCACGAATCTTTCAATTTCCAGTGTTTTTGGTCACGGAAAATGTGGGGAGGGAGAAAAATCAGTACTGCAGTAGAAGTTAAATTGGAGAAATTTCAGTTATATCTGCCAATTTTTTTCTGGAATTGACAAAAAGCAAATTGTTCATTTATTTTTTCACTGCTCGATAGCAAATTTTGTCCAGATCTAGTTCTTTTTCGCACCGTAATTCACTGGTGTACCATCTGTTAGAACGAAATGTTAACAAATTCTTCTGGATCATATTTCAGCAACTTCATGTGAGGAAGAATCATAAAATAATTAAACTTGTCTGCTTAAAGTACTTCTTGAAGCATAACAAACTATAATAAAGGTATACTTGAGTGGCTCAAACAAGGCTCCCAAAAACAAAAGCTAATTCACTGCCTAAACTGAAACGCTCATAATACCAAGAGACCTAAGATTTTGCTTAATTTGTCAGATGAAAGCACATGTCCGCCCCGATCACCAGTGCGAAGTTTTCAACACCCCCGCATGCCCTAGAGCTGATTGTATTTATCTTAGTTTATTTATTTATTTATTTATTGTCCCTCTTGTTCTAGGCCCTCAACAGGCTTACACCCAATTACAGAGTGACCCGCATATTGCTTTTTATTTTTATTTTCAAACGGTATACCCATCGGATGAAAATTCCGAAACGTCTACAATTTTGTTGAATATCTGTAAGTTTTGAGGAATTTGGTTTTTCTTCCATCTTGATTCGGCAGGGGGCCCTCTGCGACCAGCCCAAAAAGGCTTGGAGAAAAGGCAAAACGCACTCATTTAAATATTATAGATAACTTAATTTACAGTATCTCCATTACATTCTCCACTTTATAGATATCTTTCTAAATATATGCACTACGTATACAATTCCCCATAATAGAAAAAGGTTTATTAAAGATTCATGCTATTGCAAAACACTTGAAAAACTGAATGCAACAGGGAAAGTTGTAAGATCTAACTAGCACAACATTTCCTGTGGACCTGTGCACAGTTCAATTTTGTTCCTGCTGTTCCATAAACGGGAATTTTCAGTTTCCCATCGATTGAATGTATGTGGGCAATCAACACTGCTGAAAGCCCTTATGAAATTTATATTTGTTGTCTGTTCAGAGGGGGATGGGGGTTGTTTCCGGATCCCGCTAATCCAAGAAATATTTTCATACCATGGAAATCCCTATTTAAAGCATCTCTTATCAATCCCGCAGGTTCGAAATTCGAAATTCGAGATCGGTCAAGTTCACTCCTGTTTTACGAGGTACATCCAGAAAGTATAAGTTCATTTTTACTGGTAAAATAAAACAAATGTATATTAGGAAACATAATTTATTGCAAATGAATCTGTAGACTTAAAACTATTTTTCAAAATAACGACCACTATTTTCTAGGCATTGATCGTAGCACGGCGCCAATTTTTGTGTTCCTCCGTCATAAAACGTTGACGCCTGTAACTCGCGAGTTTTTTTCTTTAATCTCATAGTCGTTATGGAACTTCTTGCCAGAGAGATTCGATTTAAGGCTTAGAAACAGAAAGAAGTCACTAGGAGGAAGGTCCAGACTATATGGTGGGCTTCCCATCCAAATTGAGTCAACAGGTGCTGTGCCAGGTTTGCAGTGTAGGGACGAGCATTGTCATGAATCAATAAAATACCGTTAGAGGGCATTTCGCAGCACTTATTTTGAACTGCATGGAGCAGTTTTCTAAGCGTATCACAGTAAGCAATATCCGTAATTGTTTTGTTCAATGGTGGTAGAATAGGCGATTTCATGTCAATCCAAATTTAATACACTTAGAAACCTACTATCCGGTAAAAAAAAGCATAAAAAACCAATTCAAAAAAAAATGGCGCTAGGGCTCCGCGGAGCACACTTTGAGAAACGCTGGAAGATAAATGAGAGAAACGAAAAGTTTGACTTTCTGGGATTTTATCATATCTTACTACCCATGTAAGATAAAAACAAGGTAGACTGTTTATTTACGTACAATCCAGTGGCGTGGGCAAAACAAACCTTGGACCACAGTCTCCGAGATTTGACCAAATGCTGATATTTTTTTAATGCAGCAACCTGTATAATTATCTCATCGTCATATTGTTTTTTATTCTTTCAGATTACATTAATGTATACTTTTTTTTAATTTTAGCCATGAAAACCTTATTTTTTAGCTGTTTTTAAATCGTAGCCCATGGATTCATGGATAATTTTGTTTTGTTTATTGTATCCATGGTAATTAAGGCAGCCAATCAATAAAAATGGTTGACGGTAGAAACATGTTATTTCAAGATTTTGAAAAATATATAATTAGATATATAAAAAAATATTGGTTGTGATAGAAGCATGTAATCAAGAAAAAGAATGCAGTAAATTGACTTTAAAATATACAGGGTATTGCATTTAAAAAATATCAACGTTGTGTCAAATTTCCGAAACAATGGTCCCAATTTTTTATTATCTACGCCCTTGGATTCTACGTAAAAATATCTAACATTATCTTGTGTGTGAGGTATTAAAAGTTTCATAATAAAGTGGCACTGGATCGCGAAAACGGAAAGTTATCTTTAAAAGTAGCAGAGATACACTGCAGTCTCAACCAAAATAGGACGTACTGTACTTACAGCCCACCCGGAGGGGGCCAGGGGTGATAAAATACGTGTGGTATTTTGTTGGACTCTCCCGCCATAACCTTTTTAAGAATCACTTTATACTTATTTATTTGCCCTGCCGCTGGAAGAAAACGGATTGATTTTCTTCGTTTCCCCACATATTTTCATCTACGTTCGCCAAGGATTTAAAAATTGATTTTTAGGTTTTGAATATTACGCATCTTTTTTTTCGTAGGTACTTACACGTCAGAAACGTGTAAAAACGTGAGTGTCATCGCACATCATCCTCTTAAATAAATATTTGTGAATGTAAAAAAACGTATTTTGACAGTTAAACAAAATGTGAGAACAGAGTTCCCTTTAGAACTTCTACAGAAATTTATGTTGATCTATCTGTTGGTAGCTGGTTAACGATCGTGTTCTTCCAAAATTCCTTGATCGTCTTCAAACGGTGTCGAAATAAACGCCCAAATAAAAAATTATAGCTTACATATATACTGATTTTAATAAATCGAAAAAAAGTCTCTCATGTTTGCGGTGGTTAAGCAAGATTTTATGGAAATTAATTTACTTCAAAAGCATTCTCTCAGTTTAAAAGAAAATCGTTCTCTTTCTTCCGCTTTGAAGGCACATCAAAACAGTGCGATGTTACTGAAATAAAAAGCGTAATCATTACGTAATTAGTATATTTACGACGTAATTTGTGAGAAAAGTAACAACCCGTAAACAATGAAACTTGCCGCTTGTATTTTCCCGCCACATTTACCAGTAACGAGTAATAAAAACTGTAGAATCTCTTCATTAATTATCTGAAAAAGTGTAATTAAATCTACGAAACCATATACCTGCGCGCACTTCGCGAATTTCGTAAGGGATGAATTACCCGGGGGCGCGTATTTTGAGTGTGAAGCGTTTGAGGGAAGCAAATTTCCTGTAGAATCTTTTTAATTTCCTGTTGTAACAGTATTGTTGCTTATCGTGCCCCTAATACGTACTAATAATGCGAATGGCCTTTATGTAAGCTCGACAAACATATGCGAAATTTTGACATTTTCAGTTAGCGATCTAAATTGAATTCCGAACGCGGCTGGAAGTTGTTCTCGTTATTAATAATTTCTTCAATAACCATACATTTAAGCCGAAGTTTTCAAACTTAATTAAGTTTATTTAGAGTCGCATTTTATATGAAACTTTCGACGTTAATATCTCCCTGGAAGCTCAATAACTAACCACCTACCTGTAAAGTTGCATGAACCTTGCCTAGCAGTAAATTAAACCTTCAGTACTTAGAACCTTCAAGTGGTATTTAATTTATAAAAGTAACCGCATCGTTTGCGCTGAAATATTGTACGGCTAACATCTAAATATAAACGTTTGGATTCTCCTCGCAGTTATGTTTTGCCGTTCATTTAATTGGCCATAAACGAACAAACGTTTAATTTACGACCGCGACCGATGTTTTACTAAATCATAAATTAATTAAACTATTCTAAATATTTAGTTCAAATTTCGAACAATTATAACGCTAATAAAACTTTTTGCGCGTACGCGAAGTTAATCTAAAGCACAATATGCGGGGACAAATTTACAGACGGAACGTTCCCTTCAAAAGCTAAATATACTCGCACCAGCTGTTTTCGCGACCCTAAAGGTGTACCTTTGGTGGTTATTCTTTACACTTTTAACTAGGTAGGCTTGATCAAAGATTTCATTTAACTTTACAACCCCGATGTGCTCGGAAAATAAATGAAAATATATACCATTTCAGATTACGCGGGTTTTGG